AAACTAAACTTTACTTAGTAGTTAGGTTTTTAGGTTTAGGTAGGTCGACTACTCGTAATTACTTACTATTTAAGTTAGTACGACTTACTATAACTTTTACTTACTATATATATATATATAAGAGAATGTAAGAGACAAATTTCTAACAGTTGGAGAGAGAGAGAGAGAGAGATGCTTGAGAACCAACAAGTGAAAGTAAGAAAAATTTCTAACAGTTCCAGAGAGAGAAAGACATGTAAAATTGAGGCGAGAATGTTACCCAGCCAGGGGGATGAAGAATAAACTTGGTGAGACGAGGAGTGTTTGCAGTAGTACAAATGCCCCGAATTGCTATTGAAACCATTGGCAAAATTAAGCTCTGCTGCTTGCCTTTCTCCCTTTAAGCACTGGTGCTTGCCCTTATCTTAGTAGACTCCCTGCTGTAGCTTTGTATGAAATGCACAAATTTGCCATATGGTACAAAATTTTACAGAACTTCAATACTGATAACAAAGGTAGGAATGTTTCTGAAATCCGCCATAGTAACTAGGACCCGGCCTCGGCCTATGGGCGAGGCCGAGTACTATGTACCAAGTTTCTTTATATATTTGTATTTGCTAGCTTATTCATACGATGCCGAAGTGACTTTTAGCTATTGTGCAAATCTCTGTAACCTCATGTTGTGACTCGCCTCAGCTGAGGTCCGAGTACCTTTGCCAAATCGATTTTTTGAACACTGGGTAGGACAAACTTTCCAAAACCAAATATGGGCACCACAAACTTTTCAAGAGCAAATACGCCCAATATGAGAGCTAGAAACCAAGGGTGGATTAGATAAACATTTAGGTGGCATTTGATAACTTTGAGTGCAGTCTCCCTAGGAATCACCCCTGTTGCTGACTTTCATTGATTATGGGATGCAGGTGAATATTTGCAAGGGTGAAAGCTAGAAACTCTGTTTGATAAATTGTGGTGTTGGTAATTTCACTTGTTTGGCAATGGGTAAGCTCAAAATTGCATGTAACACTATTAATTATGTATATCATTGATGTGATGTAGGAGATGCCTTTTTCTTTGTTGAGAATCAAAACGCGGTTGTTTAATAAAATTTTGCAATTAAATAAGGTTCCTTCCCTTTATCCAATATAATACCAAACATGTAAATAAAGATTCAAGGAATACTTTGGTGCTTGGAGATTTCATAAAATTGTGAACCCCCTCTGATGCTACCAATATTTACATAAATAATAAACAAAATTGATTTTCTTAATACCAAAATTTCACTTAATGCACAAGCAGCCTTCAAGAGCAAACATATACCAGTAACTCTTCAACACAAAGTTATGGGATATTAAAAGAGGACATGAGATTACGAGATAAAAATAAAATGATATGAATATAGCATTTGGAGCCCACACCATTTTCAACCCTAAATACTATGTTAGCTCCCTTACCCATGAATGAAGAAAGAATTACTAACAAACTCAATCTTTTTTTGAGAAACATTAACTTTGTATTTAAAGGTAAATATTTACAAAAGTATCCAAAAAATGGCAGCCCACAAGTTGGGTGCTCTGTATATATCAAAAAAATGGCAGCCCACAAGTTGGGTGCTCCGTATATATAAAAAAAATGGCAGCCCACAAGTTGGGTGCTCCGTTTACAACCAAAAAAGCAAGAAGGAACAAGGAGAAAAGTATGGGAGAATACGTAGTGGGGGGAATAGAGAGATACAGTTAAGAGCGATAGGAGAGAAAAGGAAAAGATAATTACATGCAAAGTACATTACAATTCCAAAAGAAGTGATTCAAAAAAGTTCTTCACTGTCTTCATCCTGAGCGTATCAACACCAAAATTAGCTTGCACGGCCTTTGTAACGCTCTGCAGAACTGTGGAGTGTACCATGCGGGGTATGGGTTGGGCTGCTGAAACTTAAGCTTCAGGGTCTTCGAGTTTGTAGGTTTGTCCTCTGTTCTGTCGTGGAGTGTTGGTAAGACCCAAAGAATGCACGGGCCTTGCTTTTGAAAAGAGAGAGACATTTTCGTAGAAGCAGAAGGGAATGCTTCTAAGGTAAAGTAGCGATGGTGGCTGCTTCTAGGCAGGAGCAGCAGTGGCAGCTACTAGGTAAAAGCTGCGGTGGATGTTGAGTGGGCCTACTTCTAATGGGTGGGAGGAGTCAAAGGGTGCTGACAAGCATGAACCTTAAAAGTATCTGCTAGCTGTAGTTGTTCATGAGGTCCCTACCAGGGCTTTGTCCGCCATGGGAGAGATGGTGGGGGGTGGGGTCTGAAGAGGCCTTAAAGAGGGCTAATAGAACAAGGTGGTAAGGCTGCAAATATTGAGTGGTGAATAGAAAGAAATTGGGGTATAGGGGTCAAAGGGGAGGGGTAACAAGAGAAATATGGAGTTGCAAGAGAGCTTACCGAGAGCCCTACTTACCGGCTGCTGAGTATGCTTAGGGAAGAGAGACGAGCATGGGTTTGAGGAGGCAAGAGAGGGAGATATTAATGGGGATGTAAAAGAGAGTAAAGAGGTAATTCTCATTTCCCCGAAAAAATAATTATATTGTTTTCCTTCTGGAGGCTATGCTATAGATGGAGCAGATGTTAAGGGGGAAAGATGAGCAAGAAGAAAAGGGGGGTCAAGAGAGAGAGAGTCTAGAGTTTGAGGACATACCTTTGAGAAGCCGGAGAAGACCTTCCAAAGTTTGCTATGATGGTTTGCTTTGATGGCGAGCAGAGAATCAGAAATGAATTAGAGGGGAGAGAGAAAAGAGAGTTTTAGGCCAATCTGTGCCTATATGAAAGACGAGGATTATCCTTCTTTTTTATTTTTGGGAGAAAGAGGGGGAGACAAAGAGCTAGAGGGGAGAGATAGAAAGAGAAAGTGAGAGGGGGAGGTGAAACTATTGTCAAGCAGACAGTTGGGCTCCCACGCCTAGAGATGCTCCTTGTTTTGCCAGTCGGTCTCCCTCAGAATTGGCTGCTCGGTGAATATGCGTGAAGGTGACCTGAGGGACAAGGCTGCACAAGAAATCAATATGCTCAAAAGTCGAAGCTAGCCTCCAGGGGGGCTGTTGCTCACGGGTGGCCCAAAGAAGGGTGTTGGTGGAGTCAACTTCTATAAGGATACCTTGAGAGTTGATTCCCAACTGAGCCACCCACTTAAGTACTTCAAGCAAAGCCAGTGCCTCAGCATAAGTGGAGTCCTATATCCCAATATACTCTAAGAATGTGAATATTTTAATTGTACTATTTGCGAGCCAGCCACCTATGCCCCGAAGGTCCTGGGTTTCCTAAGGAAGACAGGTTTCCTAAGGAAGACCCATCGGTAGTCAACTTTAGAAATCCCCGAGAGGTGGGGGGGGGTCCAGAGGGGCCTAGGTCAATCTGATAGGGTTGATAAGTTGAGGAGGCAGGCCCAATTGTTAAGAAAGTGTTGTATAGGAATTGTAGAGTCTATAGGGATGTTTTTGGCCCAAAGAAAAATGAAAGCAGAAGTGGAATCAAATATAGATTCGATGTTTTTCAAGGTGCCTCTAGAAGTCCGAGAATTCCTCTCTAGCCAAATGCGCCAAATTAGGGCAGAAACTGGGAGGTGCCGAAGCTTTTTTCCATTTTTTAAGAAAGGGTGGGAAAGAAAAGATTAAAATAGACTATTTAGGTTATGAGGTGTCACCCACTTTAGGAGGGATGACCAGAGGGTGAGAGAGACTTTGCAATGGATAAAAAGGTGTGGAATGGAATCCTCTTCCTCAAGACACAGAATGCACCGGTTAGGGAGAGAGAAGCCTCTCCTCTGGAGGTGATCTAGCGTATGGGTCTTACCTTGTAGGAGGACCCAAAAGAAGGCCTGACCTATGTGGGCAACAGGGAGGGCCCAAGAAAAATTGAGGAGAGGCTCGAGGTTCTGGTTGGGGAGGAGTGAGGAATAAAAGGAAGAGACGGAGAAAGTTCCCAAAGGGGCCACAGACCAAATTAAAGAATCATGTCAAGAGAGGGTAAAGAAGATGGGGTCAAGAATTAGGAACAATGTTAGCAAGAGAGCAGATTCTTGATCCGTGAAGTTTCTTCTAAAGATTGGTGTCCAAACTAAATAGGAGGCATTGAATTCTATGCAGTCCGTAATGAAGGCTTTAGGTTCTCTTGCCACAAGGATGAGAGCAAGGAAAGCCACTGAAAGAGGAGAGTTTCCAATCCACAGATCAGACCAAAAGAATATGCGGGAGCCATCTCCTAACCTATATCAGATACGATGTAGGAAGGCATTCCTGGTTGTGGAGATGCTTTTCCACACTCCCGAAGATCTATGAAGTGGGCATCTAGGGAGCCATTCCCCACTGCTAGGACCATATTTCGCTTGTATGACCTGTTTCCAAAGGAGTGTGTGGGGAGACAAAAATTTCCAACACCATTTGCCAAGAAGGGCAAGATTCATGGTTCTAAGATCTTTTATTCCAAGACCCCAAAATTTTTTTGGGGAGCATACAATGTCCCAAGCTACTAGATGTATTTTCTTTGATCCCTCTACTCCGGACCATAGAAAATCCCTCATTAATTTTCTTTAAGCGCTGGATAATAGAGATGAGGAGCTGAAAGAGGGACATGTAATATACTAGTATACTAGCCAAGGTAGCTCGAATGAGAATAAATCTGCCCCCAAAGGATAGAAACCTGCCCTTCCAGGAGGAAAACTTCCATGTGAATCTTTGTGTGAGATCGTCCCACAGTTCCTTTCTAGGTTTTCCTAGGCACAAAGGGAATCTTAGGTATGAGGAAGGTAATGGTTCCATTGCATATTCTAGACATTGTGCTAAGCTCCACAATTCAGTATCTCCTACATGGACTCCTAACATTTTTGTCTTCTTGAGGTTAACCTTCATCCCTGTGAGGAGTTCAAAGGCATGCAGAAAACGCCAAAGGCAATCAACTTGGGTTGGGTTTGCTTCGCAGAAAAAAAGAGTATCATCTGTGTAGAGTAGATGGGTTACAATTGGACATGATGGAGAGGTACTAAAACCCGAGAGAAGGCCTCTATCATAGAGTCTGGAGATTGTTTGGGTAAAGAGTTCCCCAATGAGTGTAAGAGGAGGGGTGAGAGGGGCGCCCCCTGCCCAAGGCCTTTATGGGCCTGAAAGAATCCATTTGGGGACCCATTGATGAGTATGGAGACGGATGGGTTGGAGATACAAGCTTGAATCCAATTTCTCCAAAGTGAACTAAAACCCATTCGGGTCTGGATCGAGTCGAGCAGGTCCCAGCCGACCCTATCATAGGCCTTTTCCCAATCCGGTTTAATGATGAGGCCTTTCTGGCTAGACAAGGACTTGGAATGTATTGCTTCATGGGCCGTCAGAGCACCGTCTAGAATTTGTCTATTTGCAACAAAAGCTGATTGGGTTGGGGAGATAACTGTGGTGAGGACCTCTTGCAGACGAGAG